AGCTGCATTTTCAAATTAACAATAACTTGGTAGCCTCGTACTTCGTGATAGTTACTTCGTAGTAGCTGTGAAATTCCAAATGAAAGCCGAAAATTATTTTCAAAATAAAATGAGAAATAAACGTAGGAAACGTCTAAATTTTTTTTTTCTTTTTTTTTTTTTTCAAATTTCCATAACACAAAATGCAATGTTTTTATTGCTGTCAAGTACTATCCGAACGAGTGACGAGATTCGAACATCAGCATCAAGGAAACGGAGTTGAATGGAGAAGAGAAGACCGCTGGTTCGCTGGTATCGACGTGACAAAACAACGATGATGCAACAGGATCGTAGTAGGTTCATCGGTTCGATCGCACGTCTCGGCTCGACGAGCCAGGCAATCGATGACGCAGACCTACTGACTTTACGTAACATTGACCTTCGTCGATCGTCACGCACTCGTCAGCACGTCATCCACACGATCGGATCGGATCGGATCGGCTAGAACTTCTAGAAAACCACAGGGCACCACATTGACACGTAATAACCTGCACACCTCGTCTAACGAAAGACTCGAAGACCGATCCTAACTAGGACAATCAAACGATCGAGTGGACCGTCAGGTTTTACGGATCATGTTCGCGAATAATATCGTGAATCATGGCTTAAGCAAGCAAGCTGTTGCTCTTCGTTTATATAATTAACGACGTCGCGTATATTCTAAAAAAGCGTCCCGTGACGGCTCGTTAAAAATAACGTGAAAACAAACGACGAACGCATGGGATTTGTTTGTATGAGTTGTACCTCTGTCTGTATAATTACAAAAGCGCGATGAATTAATAGAAGGAGTAGAACTTTGATGCCCGGATTCGAGAAGAAAAAGAGATGCTCCCTTCTGAACAGTTTTCTCTCAGCAGATTGTACTCTCTCGAAACCTGATCCCGATTTCCAAAATCCGCATCTCAGGCATCTCGTATCTAATTAGCGAGCTAGAAACTGGAATTTCGAATATTCACTTGCGACCGAAGAGATCGTATTACGAAGAGTAGATTCATCGAGAGATTAATTTCACAAGAAGAAGAAGAAGAGTTGAAATACTCGAGAGGTGGTTCGTTACTCTGTAAGTGAAAAACACTCGTTCAGAAAGAGTGGAAAAGAGAGAAGGTCCGACGAACGAAGAGAGACGAGAAGCATCCTCGTGGAGGGAAAAGGGGGGCTACTCACCCTGTAAGGCGACGGCTAGAAGGGTCAGGAAGAGGCCCACGAAGAACGCGGGTCTCAGCCGCGAGCCCGTCATCTCGTTTCACTAGGCACTACACGATGAGCCAGGGCTGGCAGCTCGTCTCACTCGATAGTCGCCTTCGACTCCAACTCGCCCGCGAGGAACTGGCATTGTCACTACCGCCAAACCCTGAAGACGCCCCTCTACTTCACACCCCACAGCCGCTACCGCCCGATCGAG